ATCATTTTCCTGCAACCAAGGAAGGCTGTCGATGGTCAAACATCTTGTCCCGTTCCAGTTGATATAATCCGTATCAGGTCATTTCGTTACCGCTGGAGCTATTGAGATCAAAGGCGTAGTCGCGTTTATGTGTCACTCCTAGATCATACTTCTATTCGCCTGCCCATTTCCTCTAACCATTGAGTCTATTTCGGTACGGCTCCATCACATTATAACAAAGTAGTTTCGAGAAAACCGGGAATAATTTATTCAGAGTAGGGGGAAAAGCATTAAATATGGAAAGCGCCAAGGTTGTGATATGATGCGCAAATGCTAATGTTGGCTTAAAAATTTGTCTCAAAGGGAATACGGAAGGGGGAAAGAGGAGGAAATGATTGTTTAATGCACGTACCGCTGAGTTCGTCTATCGGTCTTGATGGGATGTAGTTTCCGTTACTTACATTCACCATCGCTAAGGTGAAGGTCTGGATACCGCAACGAGCTAACTAACGATATTTCCATGTTTGCAGTTACCGATCCCCTTACTTTCCAGTGCTCTATCTAAAATTGTAAGTTGTCCGAGGTCTAGTTACCGAGCTGAACTCGCTTTAGATTCGCAATCATTTCAAAGCACGATTCTTCACCTATCGGTTAGCGCCCGTTATGTTACAAAGGCGCATAATACAAATACTGAGATATAGCCGGGGACATCTACTTTATTATTAGTTAATCTGTGAGATTTTGGCTGTTAGTTGGCGCTACGGGATCATAGTTTTCTTTACCTGGGTTGCAAAATATTCAAACGACAACGGAAATCACCAAACAGCTGCCAAAGTCAAGCTTGGAGGTCGACTCCAGATAACAGTGAACTGAAACAGAATCTGCCTCCATAGATGCTGTGTCCCCACCGCCCAACTACTGTCTCTTAGTGCTTAACGCTTATGGAAACACAGTTGACACAACTTACAGCCACTGTTTCCTTACGGCAGCTAAGTGATGCTTTTTCGGGCCAACTAGCAACCGTGATCGGACAGTGCCAACTGAGTTATGTGTGACTATTGATTTGGTGTTGTTCGAGTTGTCAAACAATTCAAACAAGAGCCACTTGCGTACCGAGTGGAACTTTAGCAAATAATTGCTAGCGAAACAACAAAAATTTAGAATGAAACAGGTTTGTAAAGTGGCATCCAGAGCTATGGACACCAGTAGCAAACTATCCGGCTAGTGAAAGCCTTGATTCCACTGGAAATAACACTGCAATCTGTTACAAGTTGCCATTCCCAGAATGTCTCCTTTCGTGCAGAACAAAAACGGTGTATTCGTTCACCATCACTCCGAGGTGCAGCCTATCATTCAGCGTTTATGTTTTCAGAGAGGGGCCTGTTCGTGAAAGTAGAAACCAATCAGTGAATGCTCCCCATTGTCACCTCGGGTTGAGGGTTAACAAACAGGCATGAACTGCGCAATGAATGGGACTCAGGACATTTTGAGACTAGGGCTGAAATAAACAGTTGTAACCTACCACGGCAGTGGTCTAAGAAAAGGCTTTCCTTGTGTTGAAATCTGGAAGCGCCTTAACAGACCAGCGGCACTTATGGATGCAGATTCGAGGCGATAAAATACTTGAAATGTTGAATCCGATTAAACACTTTCACCTGGATGACTTTTGATTATGTGACAGGGAACGCCAAAACTGTCTGCAGAAATTTGTCTGCCGGCTACATAACTATCGAATCGCTAACTTGGCTCCTGATTAAGGTAAGTCTCAATGTCCAACTGAAGTTGTGACATTAAATAAAACAGGAATGCTTTCTTTCATCGTAGTATCTTAGAGAAGGAATAAAACCAGCTAGCGGTTACATTTGGAAGTATTCCACCTTTTCTTTCATTTCCGGAATTCGACGATTAAAATGACATTGCGGCGAACGAGGAAGTTACTCAGACTACTATGGAATAAGAGTGTTGAGCAGAGCGGTGAAACCACCCAGTGAATAGACGCGGCACTCGAGTACATCGTCCGCTGCGAGTCCATCATGAACGCCATAAAACTTGGCGGTTCGTGGACTACGAATGTGGTGTTCCACCAGGGCAGTGATGGCTTCCTACTTCTGGTAGACGAAGGTGACCCAACGTTATCAAGAATTGCGTCCATAAATCGAGTTGGCGCCAGTGAGAAGCAGCCAGCAATGACAGCTGCGTGTCCGCATATGTTTTACGGCTGTCAAGTCAGTTTTTCACACTGACTCTGGCGTTGCACAGCGTGCCAGCCTCCACATGTTTACTCCTGATGCGGTTCGCTGAAACGAGTGACCTCGAGAGGTTATGCAGCATAATGAAGACCAGCTGGTGGGATGTAGCCACCACAAGCAGACACGGATGTCCGGTGGACGTACCGCAGCTTGTTGTATTAGAGATTGCAGGGGGTAACTCCACTGCGAACTGCAACTGTGTCCGAAGACAATAGGCGTGAGTTTCCCCCACCTCCCGGATGTAGGTATGTTAGCTGTTCTTACTTGATTCAGACCGCTTGATTTGTTGTCGCCTGTAAAACTGACCTCGACAGTCATAACGTTTTTCTGTCTAGACACCATATAAACCTTCATGGTAACTTAAAATGAAGTGTGAATCAAGGACCGCAATTGATGACTTGTAACAAACCGACCTCTGAATCAGTGCCTAGGGAGATTTTTATTCATACCGTTTAGGCGGGTTGGGTAGCGACGGATGAGCCTACGAACACCTGATAGTCACTTGTAAGAAGTTTCATTTCGATCGTTTACATACACAAACAGGGTCTTTGGGATGTAGTTAACAGTTGTAAGACCACGCGGACCGCAGTGTTTGGGTGTTCGTAGTCAGACTGGATAGTGGGCGAAGCCAATGCTTCAAACGCATTGCTGCGATTGTAAAACCATTCTCACTTTTAGTGCCTAATATCATACGTCGTTAAGTGGTTAGAGACACTCAGACGAAATCGTTGGAATAGAAAATAGTGGAGAACCATGTGTCCAGCACACAGGTGGTGTGGGTGACAGGCATCGGCTAAAGTTTGTCGTGTACGGATGCATGTCTTCGCTGTAGTGCTGGTTGTCTTCAGGCGCTCCAGCAGGTGTGATACACGTTTATCTTGCTCCTCCAAGTAAATCGCATCAATGGGGTCATCAATAAAGAATGTCATCAATAATACGCCATCACACCGTACCTACGCTTCCCTTCCATGCGAGCACCACCAGTAGCACATGGGCTGGAGATACTGCGGGTTAGCCTGCAGCTGTACAGATTCGAACTGGCGATCCTAGGACCACATGGCACACGCCTTATCTTTTTAACCACCAGCCCTTTATTTTCGACCGACATATTGTTGACAACTTATTGCAGCCTCACACAGCGACAATTGCGTTTATCACGACTTGTCGAAGCAATCACAGTAGATCAAGTCAACATCGATAACACATGGATGTTCAGAGGTAGTCATACGAACGACAGTTCCCTTGCGAATATGTCACTTGTTGCAGCAGATATGTGGATAGTATGGCTCAAGTATGAACCAGCTTCAGACGAAATAAATTCGATTCATGCTGACTTTATTCTGCTTGTTAATAGAGAAAATGAAAGATCTTTGCCACCAAGTGTGCTTGATTCGCATCCGGGACAGTTTGAAAAGTTGGAAAAAGTAGAGAACAGCGTCTTTTGAGAAAATCGGGCAACTAACTACTAACTGCACAGTTGTGTCTATCAGACTAGGTGGGTTGACAGTATCCGACATACGCCTAATGCGGATGTATTATCCATGGTGGATGTAAAGAGAACATTGCTGTTTATGCTTTGCCACGAAGATCACACAGGCGTCTTTTTGGAAGGGCGAGTGTGTCGTCTCCATATTACTGTCGTCGCTTTAAAGCGGTACAGATGACAGTTAATGGTCCCACTGATTTAACAGACTGACAATGTTACTCCTGTGCACTTGTCGACGATGTAGCTGTACCCATAACAAACAAAAATGGCTTCAAACTGCTAACTGGATGAACTTCCACAACCTGTATGCTTGCACCTTCATACTGTCGCATGTGTGAAAGCGTCATGGAACCCATACAACCATCCTCTTATCCTCATCGCTACTGCGCATAAGTAAACTTAGTTACACTACGAATGGGTTTCAAAGTATCACTTAGACCTCTCTGCTGACTTCGATGTTCCTTCCGATATAGTTCATGGCATCAAAGTACTGCGTAGACTCCTTATCCGTCGTTACCAGTAGAGTTAGAGATACATTGTGAGATTACTAGTGATTTCCCAAGCCCGCTGAATATCTCAGATACCTTACTTAAATTTGTGACCAGCACAGACACAACTGATACAGTGGAACTGGCTGACGGACTGTTGACATAAATCGTTTGTTTTAGAAAAGAGTTAATAGGTTCGAATCTTTACGCCCCCATTGCTCCTGCAGTTCCGCCACCTTTTCTGATAAAATGAATCTGTAAGCCTTTCGGCATGCCCGCGGAAATGGCATTCCGAGCGTAAAGTACGAAAATACTTCGCTGCCAAAAACTGACATTCTACTCTATGAATCCTGTTTACTATGAATCAATAAGAATATAGATCAGTAGGCTAAAGAGCACAACCAGAATCAAAAGCGTATCAAATTTAATTAAAATAAAACAGATTTGTTTGTCAAGATTGGTTAATAATTACTCAGTTATTTGAAGTGAACAACAATAGATGGACAATGGAATCATAGTTAATAGCGGACAAAACGCAGTTACTTACGGCCTTCCAAAAGTAAGGCAGTAGCTGTGCTTACAAACTAGATGCTTAGAAGCATAGCTACGGATAGCTTTCGGTACTTAGAAATGCACTGGGTCCTGCACCAGAAGACATTCTATGACACACCTTATGCCGTGGTATATCAGCATATCGTTTTAAATGAGTTCTAAAGTTTTCATGATATGCACCTAATCGGAGCAGCAAAGGGATGAACAGATACGCGCAGGGAATGCACGTGTCGCTCTTCAACTTACTTTCTTACACAGACTTGGGCTGACTATTTGAATGGCTGCAAAAATCGATGACCTGTTACCCGCAACGGTTGACGCTGTGTAACCAAGTAGTTCATAATATGAAGTAGTTTCGTGTAAGCACTGAGTAGATCAGATTTAATTCATCTGATGCGTCTGTTACTTTTATGATAACCTGCATTTTTGCCTGTGATTTGTTAGGCCAGAAAAGGTTAAATAATGCTATCGGCTGTCAGAGATAAGCCAATAAAGCAAAACTGTTGGGACTTTTCGCTTTGCATAGGATTGCGGTTGTTATTTAGTGCACAGTAGTTTTTAGTAAAAGTCATTTTAATGGTAAAGAATTTGACGAACTTTAGGTTTTCTATTAACGGTAGTAAGGCTTTATACAAGCGCAATTTACGAATCAGAGAAGCCGATTAAGTGGAGTGTAAAATCCGCCTAGGTAGCAGTTAAGATTATGATACGCCTTAAGGTATCCACCACTGCCACAGTAAACAAGTAAAGCCAGTTGTTGCAGGACATATGTTCATAAATTCACGTTAGGCTTTGATGAATACGAGAGTCTGAATTCAGGGGTACCACTTTTAACTGTATCTTGTGTACGCATAGTAAGCATTCGTTACTCAGCATGTTTAAAATCTCGTGTTGCGAAATAACACAAGATTTCGGACCTAACGACCGATCCGGATAGGTCCGGCACTTGTATGTTCCCCTTACTTACAATAAATGCCTAGTTAACTAGAAACAAGTAATCAGTCCACTCCAGGCGAGTCTTTCGCTGATTTGCCATTATAGTTATACTACTAGTTATTGACTAGTAGATAGAATATACTAATTTTCTACACCCTCCAGGTGTTCACCTTAAGCTTCCCCAGTTCCCAATTGACACGTTTCCAGGTCGGTTTGCTTATTCAACCACAGTTCACCAAATTTCAATCTACAGCGCCGGTACTATCATGGTATTATAAATAACCCTTGTTTGACGAGCCATTTATCCTTATGCCAGGTGTAATGACTGCCCGACAGTGCTCTTGCATGGTAAATCGACTACACGAGATATGAATTCGGGAGAAGCGAGCCATACAATTGCCTGCTGTAACATAAAAATATGACAATAGATGCGGACAAACAGCTAAGTACGTCAGTCTGCCTCGCAGATACAATGTGCTATAATGTAAATGAAATGAAGCAACGTCTAGTTAGGAGAAAATTGAGAGTTCGCTAGAGGACAGATGGACACCGACA